CCCTCTGGGGCTGTTTGCAAAAGGTAGTTTATGGAGTAGACAGCAGTGAGAGCTGCTAGTGCAGAATGGTCAGCTACCTCATTCCTGCCTCCTCATAATGCCATGAAGCACAAAAGAAAATTCCACTTTTCAGGACTCTTCAGTTTGCATTGGGTTGAAAAGTATTTTCAATATCACAGTCACTTTCCGTGTAGACTGTGACATCTCAGTCAGGTGGTGGCTGCAGGGAACAAGGTTTTATTTCAGTTTGTGTAATGTTAGATCATATCAAATGAGACATTTGGGACCTTTGCTTGGTTTGGCTTGCATCATGAATTAGGATGTGAAATATTAAGAAGAAATCTAAATGTTTGCATCTCACCACAGCATGACTACAGCCCATAGCGTGCCAGTCTGCTCATTCTTGCTCATTATAGAACTGAAAAGTATACTTTTCTTGGTTCACAGACTTCTCAGTTCCCAGCTTCCTGGGTAGGGGTCCCATCGTAAGCATCTGGTTAGATCAAAGGTAAATCCTAATGATTTTACTAAGCTCTTACCCTTACAAACCAGTGGCCACTGGGTGTAAGGGTGAAGGGGACAGGGGCTCTGCTGGTGTTCTTCTCAATCCTTCAAGTCAAGGGGAGGTGGCCAGGCAGGAGTGAACACACCCTGCAGATCAATGCATGGCTGCACAGATAATGTTTCCAGCAGGGCTTGGCTTCTTTGACCAGGGGATGCTGTTCCAAGAAGAAAGATTGTTAGGTAAAGACAGGATCCACCTGACAAAGAGAGGGAAGAGCATCTTCACAGGCAGGGTTACTAACCTAGGGAGGAGGGCTTTAAATGAAGCTCGCCAGGGGATGGAGACCAAGGCCCTGAGGGAAATGGGGAAGTGGGTGACCTGGAGGAAGCACAAATGGGAGGGGACAACAGGGAAGGCATTCTCATTCTGTCTGAGAAAGTAGGACAATCAGCTCATTCTCTCAGGTGCCTGTACACAAATTCACAGAGCCTGGGAAACAAGTAAGAAACATTGAAAGTCCTCACATAGTCACGAAACGATGATGTGATTGGAATAACAGAGACTTAGTGGGATAGATTGCATGACTGGAGCACTGTCATGGATGGGGGGAAGAGGAGGAGGAGTTGTGCTTTATGTAAAATTGCCATATGATTGCTCAGAGCTCCAGTTTGAAACTAGAGATAGGCCTATTAAAAGTCTTTTGGTGAAGGTCAGAAGGGAAAACAACAAGGGTGATGTCATGGTGGGTGTCTGCTATAGACCACCGGACCAGGAGGATGTGGTGGATGAGGCTTTCTTCAAAGAGCTAGTGGATGTTTCCTGATCACAGGTCCTGGTTCTCGTGGGGAACTTCAATCACCCTGACATCAGCTGGGAGGGCAATACAGCAGTGTGCAGGCAATCCAGGTAGTTTTTGGAGAGTGTTAGGGACAACTTCCTGGTGCAAGTGCTGGAATGGCCAACTAGAGGCCATGCTCTTCTTGACCTGCTGCTCACAAACAGGGAAGAATTGATGGGGAATGGATTAGTGGATGACAACTTGGGCAGCAGGAACTATGAGATGATTGTGTTCAGGATCCTGAGAAAAGGAAGGATGGCAAACAGCAGAATAAGGACCTGGACTTCAGAAATGCAACCTTCAGCTCACTCAGGAAACGGATGGGCAGGATACCCTGGGAGGTCAGTCTGAGGGGGAGAGGAATCCAGGAGAGTTGGCTGTACTTTAAACAAGCCTTACTGCGGGTGCAGGAACGAACCATTCTGGTGCACAGGAAGATTAGCAAGTAAGGAAGAAGATCAGGTTGGTTTAGCAGGGAATTCTTCAGTAAGCTAAAACAGAAAAAGGAAGCTTATAAGAAGTGGAAACTTGGACAAACAACTAGGGAGGAGTATAAGAATATTGGTTGTGCATGCAGGGATGAAGTCAGGAAGGCCAAAGCACAATTGGAGTTGCAGCTAGCAAGGGATGTGAAGAGTAACAAGAAGGGTTTCTACAAGTATGTTAGCAACAAGAGTAGGATCAGGGGAAATGTGGGTCCTTTACTAAATGGAGGGGGCAACCTAGTGATGAAGGATGCAGAAGAGGCTGAAGTACTCAATGTCTTTTTCACCTTGGTCTTCACAGTCAAGGTCAGCCCCCATACTACTGCGCTAGGCAGTACAGTTTGTGTGAGAAGGTGAGCACCACTTAGTGATGAAAGAACAGGTTAGAGACTATTTAGAAAAGCTGGATGTTTAGAAGTCCATGGGGCTGAGTCCAATGCATCTGAGGGTGGATGTGGGGAGAGCAGTGGATGTGATATACCTTGACTCTAGTAAGGCTTTTGATATGGTCTCCTGCAACTTTCTTGCAAGCAAGCTAAGGACGTATGGGTTGGATGAATGGACTGTGAGGTGGACAGAAAACTGTCCAGATCATCAGTCTTAGAAGGTAAAGCCAATGGCTCGGTGTCTAGTTGACAGCTGGTATCAAGTGGAGTGCCCCCAGGGTTGGTCCTAGGGGCTGGTTTGCTTCAGTATTTTCCTCAGTGACCTGGAAGATGGCATAGAGTGCACCCTCAGCAAGTTTGCAGGTGACACCAAGCTGGGGGAAGTAGTAGATATGCTGGAGGGGCAGGGCTAGGATTCAGAAAGACCTCAACAAATTGGGGGTTTGAACCAAAATAAATCTCTTGAGGCTCAATAATAAGAACAAGTTCAAAATCTTACACTTAGGACAACACAATCTCATGCACAGGCTGGGGTACAGGCTGGGGACTGACTGGCTAAGCAGCAACACTTCAGAAAAGAACCTAGAGGTTACAGTGGACAATAAGCTGAATATAAGCCAGCAGTTTGCCCTTGTTGTGAAGAAGGCTAACAGCATACTGGGCTACATTAGTAAGAGTATTGCCAGCAGATCAAAGGAAGTGATTCTTCTTTTCTATTCAGCACTGGTGAGGCCACACCTGGAGTACTGTGTCCAGTTTTGGCCCCCACGCTGCAGAAAGGATGGATTGGAGAGAAACTAGTGGTGGGCAATGAAAATAGTTAGGGGGCTAGGAAACACGACTTCTGAGGAGAGGCAGAGGGAGCTGGGTTTATTTGGTCTGGAGACAAGAAAACTGATGGGGGATGTAACAGCAGCCTTCAACTACTGAAGGGTGGTTCCAAAGAGGATGGAGCTAAACTGTTTTCAGTGGTGGCAGATAACAGGACAAGGACCAATGTTCTCAAGTTGCAGCAATGGAAGTTTAGGTTAGAGATTAGGAAAAACTTTCTCACTCCTTCATGGTTTATGTTAAATCAGAGTCCCCCAGCATCTTAGATGCTTTGTTGGGCAGGGCTGAATCTTCAGCAGAGACTGAAGGTACAGGGTGTCTGCCTGGCTTCCTCTTGCTCCCCTCCCTCCACCTCACCACTCCCTGCTGAAGCAGGGATTCCCCCCCTCTGCCTTACACAGACACCTCTCAGCATTAGCTAGCATACCACATGCTGGCTACAGTCTGTGCTGCTGGAGACGGGACAAAGGCAGTGTCAGCTTAGGGCTTTTTGGCACTAATCAACAGGTAGCTGGTAATGTCCCTCCATTCCTTCCTTGGGAATGGTTGTTTAAGAAGAATTTGAACTAATGAGAGATCCTTTTGTTTTGCTGATGGGCTTATAAATGCTCCCTGCTGTGTATGTAAATGTTATGTAAATCCCTGCTGGCTCCCTTGATGACCAGTGAGGGGGGGCAAACCCCTCTCTAATCAGAGCATCCTGCTGGGGCCTGGCCACACCCCCCTCAGCTCAGCATTGTGGAAGGGAAAGGAAGGCTTCACTAGTGCCTCCTGGCTCCTAGCCTGAGCCACTGCAGGCAGGGGCCTGCTTTTTTTCAGTCCAGAGAGGATGTCTGTGTGGTTACAAATTGAATCAGCCTAGGCAGTTTAGGCTAACCTGCAAAGAGAGAATCAGTTCAGGCTCAGGCTTTTAGAATGTCTGTCCCTTGCTTAGGAGGGTAGTAAAGCACTGAAACAGGTTACCCAGAGAGGTTGTGGAATCTCCATTCTTGGAGTTTCTTAAGACCTGGCTAGACAAAGCCTTGGCTGGGATGATCTTGTTGGGGCTGGTCCTGCTTTGAACAGAGGGTAAGACTAGCTGACCTCCTGGCATCCCTTCCAACTCTAACTTTCTACGATTCTATGACTAGGGATATGAGGTTGATTGAAGTAAGGTACTCAAGTTTCAGGTTATCCCTTTTTTTCAGTTTTGATGACCATTACCTTCCTTCCTCTTCTTTTAGAGTGCACTACCTCTGTGAGCCACTCTAATTAAAGTGCCCAGCATGTCTTGCATATTAGTGTACCCACACTTCAAAATGTTAGTGGGGGCAGTTTATCTAAAGCTCATTGAATAAGGTTTAGATAAAGTGTCCCCACCACCATTTTGAAGCATAGAGACGCTGATACATGAGATACAGGAGGCTGCTGTAGCACAGTAATTATCACTCTCCAGCAGACTTGATTAATCTGTCTGCTCTAACGCACTGCAATTGCAGCATATCAGTGCAGCCTCCCTGCTCATGTATAGGCACCCTATGATTCTTCATACTGCCAAGTCATGGACTTCTATGAAAATCTTGTTTGCTTTTAGTGGCTCCTGATATTCAAGTAATTTTTGTATTCTTTAAGTTCTCTAATGCTAAAAGTCAGATTCCTCATTGAAAAATGTCTGGGTGAGGGCAAGGAGGGAAGAAATCTTATGTTGCTTAGCAGTGATGAATCTGGAAAATTAAATGACCCATTTTAGTGAAATCCAAAAAGTGTCCCATTTACTCCACAACCAGTAATGCAAGGCCATAATGCAGGGTCTCATCGTAGGAGAAAGGAGGAGTAGGAGTTTTGAGGCTTTTCCTTCAGATAGAAAATGAAAACAAGAGATTAATTATACAAAGTTACACTTCTAGAAAACATAAGTTCCTTGCAAAGGATATGGGTTATCTTACTGACCATTAATGTTGTGAACATCTTTCCAGGTGGATACCGATGGAGATGGCTACTTGAACTGCATGCAAGTTTTGATGGCACTGAAAGAAATAGTCCCTTCAGAAGCTTTAACTGATGCAGAAGAACTCTATGTATACAGGGTAATTAATGTCATAAAGATTTGTAGATTTGTTCTTTGAAAGTTTTGGGGTCAGGGAGCCGATACTTCAGCTATTTAAACCATCACATGTTGTCATTCAGTATTTTATACATTTATAAAGTCTCTCATCCAGGAATTTGGAAACTATTTAAGTCTCAAAATATTCCTCCAAGAGAGGCATTCTGTATAATGTTCAGTTTTACAGGTGAAGTGCAAAGCTGAGGTCAGAGATGTTGGGACCAAAATGTTCAGAAATCAGAATCTAATTCTGAGAGCTTCCGTTTTTGGATTTTCAGCTTGAAACATCAGTGGCCTGATTTTCAGCGTCATTGGGCACTATAATTGTAAATGGGAATGGCAGGTGCCCAGCACCTCTGGGGATCACTGCCTAAGAATAGCACCTAAAATAGTAGATATGTTTGAAAAAATGAACTGTTAGATATTTCCTTTTACATGCTGCAATCTGAAGTGCACAGCTCATTTCATAATGAAGCTAGTTTCCAGTAAAGCAGCATTCTGATAAAAAATAAATTCTTTCCATCCAAGAAATGCTAAGAGGTCCATTAGGAAAGTGTATGTAGTGAGTGATCTCAAAAAGTCAGTAGGAATTTTCTCTGGCAGGTATTTTTCAGAGGTCCTTCTACGTGAAGCATGCATGGTAAAGACCACCAATTCATTTGTGCTGTTTGATTATTCAAAACTTCTAATAAAAAGTGTGAAACAGTACACTATTATTATGGTAAGAACACAAGAAATGCCATGCTTGGCACAGTTCCATCTAACCCAGTGGTACAGGGCATGGAAAGGAAAAGAATATTTAAGCAGGCCAGATCCAGCTACATCTCTCCTTTGCACCTCTCTCCCACAGCTTCCTGTATTCTTGGGCCTAGGAAGTCCTAAATTGGAGATTATACTCCTAACTGTCATACTTCCTGCTTCCTGCTGGAACTGTTCTTCATGAATTTTGTCCAATCCCCTTTTGAACCTTATTAAATTATCAGCCTCTGCATTCTCATATGGCAAAAGAAAAGAACTTCCTTTTCTTTTCAAATCTGATACCTAATAATTTTATAGTATGCTCCCTAGCTCTAAGATTGTGAAAGATAGTAAATAGTAAATCTTTATTTACTTTCTCTATGCCATTCATCATTTTGTAGACCTCTGTCATATCCTCCTACTTGTCTTTTTTCTAAGTTATTATACCTGACACTTGTAGAATGTATTCACTTCTTAAACTATTTATTCCATATATACACTAACAGAAATACTCCTTTTTAGCTATGTTTTATTATTTAGGTCCAAAACCAAATAAGCTAAAGAGTCAGTTTTCCAAGCAATGTGAGGGGAAAAAAATATCTAACCCAATGTGTATTTGTGCTGTGTATACGCAAATTAGTACTTAAGAAAGCTACTTGGTCAGTCTGTGATTTGTTCAAAAGCTTTGTCTCTATCTAACAACATATCTGTAACTCGAAATTGTTGAGGACCCAGTCATCTTCTATAAGACCACATGATGTGGGTTTTTTTTGCACTTTATTGTTGCATTATTCTATCTCCAGTTTAAACTTCCATAGTTGTCAATGTATACTTTGTTCTAATGGGAAACTAGAGCCATTTCCTAATTGCTAGACAGAATTGAATGTAGCAAGTTAGGAACAGAGGAGCACTGGTGAAGTAAAGCCACTGTGTGATCTTATGTTGGAGTACAGCAATGGCAGCTATAACATTATAGAGGAAAAGGCTGAAAGGCCCTGCTAAGCCAGACACCGTTACTACAATATACCGGGGTGGGCTCCTGATGGAATTAAAAGATGGTGAGCAAGAAAGAACGTTTTGTTTTTTCTAAAATATATAAACTGTTTCAAAATTTGCTTAATGTGATTTTGGTCATGCAGGTGTGGAAAGACCCAGGATGAAACAGGAAGGAACGGCAGGGGCTCAGAGGCAATATTTTGCCTTTGCATTAAAATTTTGATGACTTATATTTTTCAAAGTGAGTAATGCCTTCAGGCTCCTCCATTGTCAGGTATCAAACTTTACATTACTAAAAAAGACCTGATTTTCTAAAGAACTGAGCTAAGATGTTTCTAGTTGGGCCCTTACAGTCATTACACACTATTGAAATTGTAGACTATTGTTTATATCTGAAATTAGATCAAAGCACAAACATTAGCCGCCATTCAAAACCAATCATTACGTTTGTCTATTTTTTAATTTTAAAGGCACAGATATTAAATAAAATATTACTTCTGAATGTCCAATTATTGATGCTTTAGCACCGAAGTAATATGGTCCAAAGCAAAAAATTTACTTCTGAATGTTGTCCAACTATTGATGCTTTAGCATCTAAGTAATATGGTCCAAAGCAAAAATTTTTTGGCATTCTTAAGACAAGTGCTTACTTTAGCTTTTCTTCAAAAACAAATGTGGTGATCCATGTCCTCAGCTAGTGTTAATCAGTGGAGCTGTGCCAGTATATATCAGCTGAGGATCTGGCCTTGTCTTATATGCCTATTTGCAGTCTTTCAATCATGATATTGTTTGAAACAGACAGACTCATTTGACACACAACATAAATGTCACTGACACAGAATACCGGTACTAGGAAATACTGAAATAAAGAAAAGTATAAAAACCTCCATGATTTAGTCGTAACCTTACAAAGGCTTTGTTTCTTTGGACACTTTCTTTGAAAAGACCCCCATTCCAAACAAAACAGAAGGAAATTAGTAGGAAGTGATTATGGAGACAGGAAACCTGAAAGCCATGAAACTGTAAATAAAGTGTTATTTGTACTACTGTATCTGGTGCCCTACTTTACATTCCCAGCACGAAACGTTAGACAAGGCTTTAGCCCAAGAGTATGGGACAAAGTTCTTTGGATGCTTAAAAATATGCATCTTGTATATTAAATAGAGGACTGCCATTCATACAGGTTATACTGGGCCTTGGGTTCATCTATGTACATTTTTACATGAAACTTGGAACTTCCTAGCCAGATCCAATTGCAGTTTGTTCATGGTGGCAGCTGATGTGAATTGTTCCAACATCGCGCACACATCAAATGGTTTAATGTTAGTATTTGAAGGCATAGGCACCATGGCAGGCACCAGTGCTAACATCGTTATACAACTCATATTGCATCATGATAATCCAGTTCACTGATGCCTGCATTTATTGTTTACTTTTATTGTATCTAGAAAGCTCATCTTTTCCTTCTGTCAACATTATTGTATATGATCCATTAATAAATCTAAAAAGGTTTCATTACACTATACACTTGGTCCTTGTTTAATGAACCGCCTTCTTTTATAGTAATAATAATAAAAAAAGAATTAGTACAAACTTTAATTACTTCCATTATGCCATGTTTGCTTTGTCAGTGGTTTCTGCTTTATGAAAAGTTAAACCACAAAGTTAGCCCAGCAATTTTTTATGCTTGTGCATGTGCCTTCAGTTAATACCCTATCTTTTTCCTTCAATGGCCTTACATTTTGTTCCCTGTTGAAGTTAAATGTGGTTCGCAAAGCTAAGATAGACAATCTTAGAGAACAAAGTACCTGAACAAGATGATATGTAGAGGGCCAACATTTTGTGGGATGAGGAGCTTTAAATAATGGGAACTTTAAAGGAATTTCTTATTACTCTGTGTGTGTGTGTGTGTGTGTGTGTGTGTGTGTGTGTGTGTGTGTGTGTGTGTGTGTGTGTGTGAGAAAGTGAAAAAGGAAGAACTATCAACAAGGCTTGTGGGTGATGTAGTGATCACTGGGTTCAATAAACACAGACATACAATGAATGAAAAGAACTACATAAATCATTTGTAGAGCAGCAGGCAACCTCTGCAGACCCTTTGGGTGCTGACAGAAGTAGCATTTGCCAGATGAATGGCCCCTTGAAAGCACTCTATAGCCATGCCCTGACAGAAGTGCATGGCTGCAGAGCACTTTAGAAGTGCCTGATTGCACAACAAAGTAATCCTCATTACGTGATGGTTCAGATGAAGGTGCTCACTCCAAAGCAGAGCAGCTTCATTAACTTCTGTAAGTTCCTATGCACAAGCAATGCCCCACCCCTGGTGAAGTCTGTAGGATAGGAGGGGAAGAAGGAAGGGGGAGGGAGCTGTGGGCTGGGGTTTGCCCAGCCTGAACTGGAATGGGCAGGGCCAGATTAATGCATAGGCAAACTCGGCACATGCCTAGGGCCCTGAGCTATGTTGGGGGCCTTCCCTTTGCCTTGCCATCATGGTGTCTGCTTCCTAGTGGTAGCTCCAAGCCAGTGTTGCCTAATTTTCTTATAATAAGTGGAATTAGGCTTTTTTCCCCCAAAATGTTGCTTTAATTTTTTAGTCACGAGTTGCGTTTTTCGGGGCTTTTTTAAATTTAGAGATTACTTATTTGGGGCTTTTCTGTAATACAGTGGTTCCCAAACTGTGGGTCCAGGTTGCAGAAACAAGATGGGGTCACAGAAGGGCCTGGCCCGACCAGCATGCAGCTTCCAGGTGGGGCTGCTGCTGCTGCTGCCACCCCAGGGACCTGTGTGCCTCTGGCCTGCTCCAGGCACCAGGTAGGGAGAGGGCAGGTGCTGGGGAAGGGTGGGGGGAGGCTGCAGCTGGGCAGGAGTGCAGAGCTCAAATGGGACGGGTGTGGGTGTGGCAGAGGGTGGGGAGTGTGGAGACCCTTCACATACTCCCCACCATGGTGCACAGCCCCTGTCACCAGCAGCGGCAGCCCTTAGGGCACTTGTGGCCCATGCACGTCCAGGCGTGGCTCCAGCCAGTACTGCACAGTGAAGTGAGGAGTGAAGCCCTGCTGGTTGCTTCTCGTGCCAGGCTCCATGCGGTGCACATGCTACTGGGGAAAGCCTGCTGTGCAGGTTATGGGAAGCAGGGAGCAGGTAAGGCAGCGGCTTCAGCTCAGACACAGTGGCTGCTTATAGATGTAGGGGAACCCCCCCAGAACAGCGCTTTACTTCAAGCTCAGCTTGCCCCTACACCGAGCGCAGTACATGCCCAGAAGAGGCATCATATTAGTTGGACCCAGCTCACCCAGTGTTTGTATAGATCAGGTGCTCCAACTGGGTTCTTTTATCTAAAAACTGATTGAATCAGCTTTAGAGAAATCCATCAAAAAGCCCTGCTGAAGTGCCCAATCTATACAGACACTGCGGAGCTGGGTCAAACTAATATGCTGACTCTTTCAGTAAAGCTCTGTTTTGTTTTGTTTTGTTTTTTCATGACTGTCAGTGCCTAGTGTGGCATGTATTCATGCTTTATGAGGTCTCTGACAAATTTTGCCTTTCTTATTTGATACATGTATTATATGAGAGCTGTTTTTAATGAAGAGGGAGAAGTGAGAATGTAGAAATGATCTGGTTAATTTTCAAAATTTGGCATTGATTATGATGTGAGCAAATGCACTAACTTTCCCTATCCTTTCATCTCCATGCTAAAAAGACATAGGGCTGTCTTATAAGAATACTAGGAGTGACTCCAGTGGAGTGCCGAGCGACCCACACCAGCTTTAAATTAGCTAGTTATGGGCATTGAATATAATCCAGCAGTGATATCATGGAGCTGATTATGGGCTGAGAAATCTACTCAAGAAAGATTAAATTAATCCATGCTTATTAGTCCATACTGCCATGGGTGGATCATGACAAACTGCTGAGCTAGCTGGTGTAGATGAACCCTTCAGACTGAATGGCTAGTTTAAACTGTGTTACAATGCTGTTTTCCTGAGTTGCTACTTCAATGACACCAGGGAAATGTGTGAGTTCTGCGAGTTGTAGGTGTTGGACCAAATGTATGAGAGGACAAAGAGAGCCTTCTAGGGTATAATATTAATATCAGTTAATTACTAATACAGTATTAAAGTTTGAATTAACATGTCTCCCTTTTATTATTATCAATTGTATCAATGAAGTGCCCTGAGAGAGAGTTCATACAGTAAGAACTTTTTTTGAGTGTCTTTAGATAAGGTTATACTTCTGTTTAAAATATCAACATGTGGCAAACTAAACTTGGTAGTCTTAAAAATTATTCTAAGAGTTGACATTGGTGGGTATGCTTTAAGAAGTTGAGCATTCGAGGGGAGGAGGGAAAGTTGCACTGCTTTTCCACTTATCTACCAGAGAGTGTTCGTGCATCAGGTAAATGGATTTGGTGTGATTTCTTAAAATACTTAACTCTCTGTTTTACATATATTCATGTGGGGGGTGGGCAATTCTATTTGAATTAGGTATGTAAAGTTTGGGAGGGGCCTTACAATACAATGTAATGTTTGTCAGGAGTCCAGTCTTGTCAGCTTTCTTGGATAAATTATTTTAAGATTTTTTTTCTGCCTATGTTAATAAAGCTTGTTGCTACTTCGATCTGAGCTTATTTCTTTCCCCCTCCCCATCACCCTTCAAGCAAGACAGCAATCTGTTCGTTTTAAACCCTTCATCATCTTTGCTCTCTCCATCTCTGTTTCCCCAGATTTTAGAGATTGTTGACTATTATGTAACAGATGGCCTGACAGACCTCCGACTCTTTGCAGTGATGGCTAACTTGGCGCAGAAAATAGCATCACTAGAGTAAGTATTCAGAGGCATAGATGCTCATGAATTTTAACTCCTCACTGACAAAAGAATTCAAGGGGGTAAGAGCTGATCTATCAGTAGCCGAAGTAATTAAAAGACTTAGATGGCTCTCTAGTGCAGAGTATCCCTTCACTGTTACAGGCTGTTTATACTAGATTAAGCTAGTCCATGTCCCATTGATCTCTAAACTATAACTATGCTTTGAAACAATGGAACAGCTTAATCCAGAAATTGAGACATTCCAGCAAGCATTTGTTAATGCTGTTCTTTTGGCTTTTAATGAAAAACATCAAGCTGAAAAAAATGTATATCAGTGTAACGTGAATATTGTGTTAGAATTAAATTTTGATTTTGATTTCTAGCTCATTTCTAGTGAATGGAGCAAGCCAGGGAAATTACTTGCAGTAAATTGCTCATTCCCTGGCTCTAAACATTTAATAATTCCTAGCCAGAATATGCATTTTCCCCCCATCTCCTTTACACTTTGCCTTTGTTCTTTAGAGACACTATCTGCCCACTGCTTGGGTCCTCTGTGCTGTTTCTCCTTCCTCCTTTCTGAATTTCACTGAAAGTCTAGTTAAGGACTCTTCAAAATATTTTATGAGTCTTCCTTGTGAAACAGGAGAAAGCTGAAGAAAGGACAGAGCCGTTTCTGAACAGATCTCAGAACCAAGACAATTCAGTGAGTTATTCAAATTGGAGCTGATTTCTATATCACTTTTGAAATAGAAAGGAAATATGACCACACTAGTGTTCTAGCAGGGACTTAAAAATGAAAGACCAAAGATGAGGTTAAATTGCCTTCTGCTAGATGGAGGGTAAAGGGAGAGTTATAGTTCAAAGAACTGATTTTGCATAGAGGTTGTACTGGATGTAAAAGCAGTATATCACTAATACCCTGACCAGATCCTGCATTTCTCACCATCTTAGCTACTTAGTACAAGGAGCAGTTGGAACTCTGCCCAAACAAGAGTAGTTTGCACAGGGGAATTCTTGGGTGGTATAAAACTGACATAGCTGGCTCTATCCCTTTCACTCCTACCCCTATTCAATGGAGGAGGAGAAAAGTTGCAGCTAGAAAGCACTACACTCTGATCATCCTGAATTTGGAACAATTGGCCCATCCAATGAAAATCAGAGTAGTTTTGGAGCAGCTCTAGCTTTTACCTGAAGCTATTTATCCCCAGCAGGCATAAGAAGCAAGAAGTGGAAAGATGGGTGAATGCCCCCTCCCCCCCGGCCCTTCTCTCTTCAGATGCACTAGGGAGAGTTCAAACATACCTAAAAGTCTAGCATGGGATTTTCACAGGTATCTAAATGTTTGGGAGCATAAATCTCATTCAAGGTCAGTGGAATCCCTGGCTCCCAAGGGAGGTGGTGCTCTCCCCTACCTTGGGGTCTTCAAGAGGAGGTTGGATATGCATCTAGCTGGAATCATCTAGACCCAGCCCTCTTTCCTGCCTATGCAGGGGGTCGGACTCGATGATCTATTGAGGTCCCTTCTGACCCTAACATCTATGAATCTATGAATCTGTGTTCCTATCTGTGTTCTTTTTGGGCACTTTTGAAAAGCACTACCCTAGCCTGTCAAGTGCACAAAGGATAAATTAATGTTATCCTTTTTTTCCTCTTCATGTGAGTATGATATATGTGTTGTAAGGAAGTGTTTACATCTTACAGCTAGTCTTCTTTTCCTACATACTTCTTCAATGAATTCATCATGTTCAGTTACTGACATAGTCCTTTCCAGAAACAGACTGTAATGTCATATAGAATGGGATTCTAACTTCATTGTAAGATTGGGAAGAAGGACACATTGGGATGGAAAGAAGAAATCCATTATGCAAGTGAACATGTCTTCAGTACTATCAAAAGAAAGAGCAGAACCTTAACAAATGAAATATATTCTACATGGAAGTCTAAGCCATGATTTAAAAAAAAAATGAGGCCTAAAATTAGATGCCTATCTCCATGTTGAATTGTCTAAATGAGAAGCAGCAATTTCCATAACTGCTGTGAACCCAGCAAGCACCCCTGACTTCATTGGAAGCTGCCAGGTGCTCAGCCTCTCAATGCATCTTAATTTGGATGTAAAAACTTTAAGTCTGCTTCAAAAAAAAAAGTAATGGCTATTTTTGGGGCCACTATATTTTTCTGCTTTTGCTTCTTTGAAAAATTGGTAATTTCAGGAAAGTCTGCTGTAGCTGTTAGCTGTAGGGAGACAAAAGGTATCGGTAATTTGTAGGTGGCTATATCCCATACTTGCCACACAAGCTGGGCACTTGACAGGTATGTGCATGTAATACTGGAGGGCCAAAATTGATAGAATCATAGAAAATTGGGGTTGGGACCTCAGGACGTCATCTAGTGCAACCCCCTGCTTGAAGCAGGGCCATCCCCAATTAGATCAATCCAGCCAGGGCTTTGTCAAGCCGGACCTTAAAGACTTTCAAGGATGGAGATTCTGTCACTTCTTTAGGTAACCCATTCCAGTGCTTCATCACCCTCCTAGTGAGAAAGTTTTTCCTAATATTCAACCTAAACTTCCCTTGCTGCAACTTTAGACCATTTCTCCTTGTTCTGTCATCTGTCACCACTGAAAACAGTCTAGCTCCAACCTCTTTGTAACCACCCTTCAGGTAGTTAAAAGTTGCTATCAAATCCCCCCTCAGTCTTTTCTTCTGAAGACTATATAAACCCAGTTCCCTCAGCCTCTCCTCAGAAGTCATGTGCCCCAGCACCCTAACAATTTTCATTGCCCTCTGCTGGACTCTCTCCAACTTGTCCACATCCTTTCTGTAGTGGGGGGCCCAAAACTGGACACAGTACTCCAGAAGTGGCCTCACCAGTGCAGAATAGAGGGAAATAATTACTTCCCTCGATCTGCTGGCAACGCTCCTACTAATGCAGCCAAGTATGCTGTTAGCCTTCTTGGGTGCTGACAGACATGGAAAAAAAAATCGCACTTTACTGAAGTAGCAGCACATTACTTCGACCTGGCTCTGCAGTGCTTGTATAGATCAGGGGCTTCAGTGGGGCTTTTTGACACTTTAATCTAAAGCTGATTTAATCAGCTGTTAGTTAAAGGCACCAAAAAGCCCCACTAAAGTGCCTGCTCTATACCGATGTCAGGAAAGCTGGATCCAGTTAATGCAATGCCTTTTCTGTGTATGGGTTGGGCTCAGTGCGAGAGTGTGCTGAGTTTAAAGTAAAGCACCATTTTTTCCCACATCTACAAGCAGCCCGTAATATCTTATTCTCCCTTAACATATTACTTTCTCCCTGCCTGCACGCACGCACGCACGCACTCAAACAGCCCTTTCCATAGCCCATCTCCATAATCACACTCCCTACTGTAGTATAGGGATCCCTGTAGCAAAGACCCAAGGCCCATTTGTGGTGCAGTGCCCTTTATTTCCTCTCCCCCATACAAGTGTTATTTTATGTATATACTTTATTATGGGGTGGATTTAACTCAAAAAGACTAGCCAATGATTCTATAGTCAACAGGGAGTAAAGGTTTGCCTAGGTCCTATGCATATTACTGATGTCTCTTAGGAACATTAAACTGTTGTGTTTTAATTTGAGTGAAAATCTTGTAAATAATCATTTTAATAAGGTTTGGAATGTCTAAACTCAGAATATCTCCATTTTCTGGTGAATAATGGCTAGTTAGTTATGATTATGGTCAAACAGCACCATTTAGTCAGCAAAATCTTTCTTTCTAGAGTAGCTAAGATATGGGATGAGAAAATAGCAGCATTGTTTTAAAATTGCCTTCTCCTTCTCTGTCTATTGTTTGTCTAAGTGTCAAGGCTATGAAATAACTCTTGAAAAGAAATTTGAGTATTCAATCCTGGGCAAACAAAGCCATAGCAAGCCTCCCAATTGGTTGGGCATACCAATGACAAAACAATTATCTTGTTAATGTATGTTTTGCATAAAAAAATCACTTTAGACATGATTTGACAACCATTAGAAATCTAGTTTCTTTCCTAGGGTTAGAATACTACTGTGCATCATACAACAGAACTAGGATTGCTTCAGGCTACAACTGACGGGGATGTCAGCTTCCTCAACTGGGAAAGGGCACATGCTCCCCTTCAGCAGTGGCCAACCCTGCCTGATAAAGCTGGGAGAAGTGAACATGGGATGCATCTACATGTGCTGCTATGGTGCTGTTGTTACTGCACCATCCTTTAGTACTTCCTTTGGGAAGTACTAAAAGACAGCGCAGTAACAGCTCATACTGCACCCTGCACATGGTTATTTTTAGGCACTACATCACCGTAGCAACATGCTATAATGAGAGGGCCTGTTGCTACGGTGACGTAGCTGTGGCATCATGGTTTTTGCCTGCGGACTCTATGTTGCCATAGCGCATTGCTATGGTGACGTAGCGTCACGTGTAGATGTGCCCACTGAACTGTTTCACAGGTGTCGCTGGGCTTAGCTTTGTCCCTTCTCTTTTGGTGCTCCTGGAGGTATTAGGTACAATGAATTGTGGAGTCCCTCCTGGGACAATACATCTCGGAGCCCCTTCTAACATGAACCGTGGCTGTGGAGTCACAATTTAGCTCCATATGTTGCTTGTTTACAACCCAGTGTTCAACACAATCTCAGAGGACAGTTAATGGTGTCTTTCACCTCTGCGTAACCAATTTGAAGGTGACAAGGTCACCATTCACCAAAAGTCATGACTATCCGACAGCTGTTGGATGGTCTGTATGAAATGAGTTTGGTCTCCGTCCAGTTTCTGGAGGACAGCTGATCACTTCACAACATCTACCACCACAGTTGGCGCACAGGTTTGTAGAGTCATTAGAAGCCAAGAATTGAAAGGACATGGGGACTGAAGTCTGAGCAACAGAGTCAGTCTCTCAAGGTCATGGTTGAGGAATAATTTCAGCATGGTGAGCAAGGATAGTTCTGTAATTACAGAATGGACTCCAGGATTTTAAAGACCTGGGTTTTATTCCTGGCTATACTGCCGG